GCGCGGGCTGTTTCACCCCCAGGGGATGAGTAAGGGGCCAGGGATTGGGGGCGGCTGTGTCAGCCCCAGGGGATGAGTAAGGGGCCAGGGATTGGGGGCGGCTGTGTCAGCCCCAGGGGATGGGAGGGGAGCCAGAGGTTGGGGGGCGGCTGTGTCAGCCCCAGGGGATGAGTAAGGGGCCAGGGATTGGGGGCAGCTGTCAGCCCCAGGGGACAAGGGGACAGGGATTGGGGGCGGCTGTGTCAGCCCCAGGGGGAGGGGGGGGGGATTGGGGGCAGCTGTGTCAGCCCCAGGGGATGAGTAAGGGGCCAGGGATTGGGGGCAGCTGTGTCAGCCCCAGGGGATGAGTAAGGGGCCAGGGATTGGGGGCAGCTGTGTCAGCCCCAGGGGATGAGTAAGGGGCCAGGGATTGGGGGCAGCTGTGTCAGCCCCAGGGGATGAGTAAGGGGCCAGGGATTGGGGGCAGCTGTGTCAGCCCCAGGGGATGAGTAAGGGGCCAGGGATTGGGGGCAGCTGTGTCAGCCCCAGGGGATGAGTAAGGGGCCAGGGATTGGGGGCAGCTGTGTCAGCCCCAGGGGATGAGTAAGGGGCCAGGGATTGGGGGCAGCTGTGTCAGCCCCAGGGGATGAGTAAGGGGCCAGGGATTGGGGGCAGCTGTGTCAGCCCCAGGGGATGAGTAAGGGGCCAGGGATTGGGGGCAGCTGTGTCAGCCCCAGGGGATGAGTAAGGGGCCAGGGATTGGGGGCGGCTGTGTCAGCCCCAGGGGATGGGAGCCAGGGGTGCAGGTGGAAAGGGCAAGGAGTCATGTCAGGCTCGGAGGAATGGGAGGGGAGCTAGGCATTGGGTGGGCAGTCAATGGCAAGGGTGCCAGCTGTTGTCGCTTCCCTCCCATGCTCTGCCCCCCAGAACGTGATGGTGCTGGGAGACTTGAATGCAGGCGGGACCTACATCCCACCTGGCGCCTGGGGGTCCATCCGGCTGCGCTGGGGTCCTGGCTTCCACTGGCTGGAACCTGCTGCGCCTACGACAGGTAGCGGGCACCCAGGCCCCGAGGGAAGGACAGTTTCTCCAGCACAGGGAGCTGGCAAAGGTTATCAGTTAAGCTGTGGGGGAAGGAGACTGCATCTGTCCTCCCTTCAGGAGCACCCCCCGGCTCAGCTGCCCCACAGGGCCTATTCTCAGGGCAGCCTCCCTCACCCCTGCTCCCTTTGCCCCCAGGGCCTACGACAGGTAGCGGGCACCCAGGCCCCGAGGGAAGGACAGTTTCTCCAGCACAGGGAGCTGGCAAAGGTTATCAGTTAAGCTGTGGGGGAAGGAGACTGCATCTGTCCTCCCTTCAGGAGCACCCCCCGGCTCAGCTGCCCCACAGGGCCTATTCTCAGGGCAGCCTCCCTCACCCCTGCTCCCTTTGCCCCCAGGATTGTGGTGCAGGGGGACGAGCTGCTCCAAGCTGTGGTGCCTGGCTCAGCCAAACCCTACAACTTTGCCAGGAGCCTAGGGCTGTCAGAGGAGGAGGTAAGCAGGAACCTGCAACTGCCGCCCTCTCTCCCCCCCCAGCACAGCTAAGGGGCAGAAAGGGAGTGAAGATCACTGGGCAGATACAGGACTGGGGGCTGGGGGGGGG